AAAGAAAGAATAAAGAAAGCATAAGAAAGAAAAAAAAGAATAAAGAATAAAGAAACTGAAAAAAGAAACTAAGAAAAGAAGAGAGCAAAAAAAAGAAGCAAAGCAATAACACTAATACAATCATAGTGATATATATAACAATAGTATCAACTATGATGACTTTGTGAAACAACTTGAAAAACAACTAAATTATTAAGCCTGAAAGAAAGAAAAATAAGTTAGTTAAATACAAAAAAAAGTGAAACAAAAAAAAAAAAGAATAAAAATAATATTAAAAAAGTAAAAGAAAAGGAAGTAAAGAACAAAGTAAGAAGCAAAGAAAGCAAAAGTCAAAAAGATTAAAAAACAAAGACAAAAGAATAAAGAATAAAGAAAACAAAAGCAAAAATGCAGAAGCAAAAAAGAAAAATGCAGAACAGCAAGAAAAAAAAGCAAAAGTAAATAAAAAACAAAAAGTAAATGAAGCAAAAAGCAAACAAAGCAAAAAACAAACAAAGCAAAAGACAAACAAAGCAAATCACAAAAAGCAAACAAAGCAAAAAGTACAAAGCAAACAATGCAAAAATATATTAATAAAAAGTTATTCAATTTGGTTAAAATTTTTAAAATATATATATTTTATTTTTCTAAATAACTTTTACTTAATAAAGTAGATTAATTTACTTAGTAAAATTTTGACTTTACTATAAAGTAACTACTAATGATCATTAAATAGCTTATTTTCAGGTATAAGATATTTTATATTTTTTCAAAAAAAAGATAGCTTATTTTTAGTAGTAGTTAATTTTGGTAATATATATATATTTCAAACTTTAAACTGTTTGCAAACTTTCAAACCAAATCTAGATCAAACTTAAAATTAAGTTTGGGTTTAGCTTAAATTTAAAAAAAAAATTTAGTTTGGTTTGAGTTTAAAAATTAGTAAAATTTTAAGTTTGAGTCTGGTTTGAATTTGAAGTTTGGTCAAACCAAAACCAAACCAAATCAAATCTAGGAGCTCTAGTTTGCAATATATTTGTTTTATTTATTTTTATTTTATTTCTATAACTAGTATTGTATATTTTTGATGTCTAGACTGTCTGACTTTTTATCAGACTTATAAATCTACTCTAAAAATGCATACATATATGCAAAAATAATTCTAAACAATTTTAATTAATAACTGAAGATGGGTTACAATATATTTTTAAAGTTATTTAGTATAAACTCTGACAAACTCTGTCTGAGTGCTGTCCGAGTTGTCTGAATAACAATACTGTCTATAACTATATACTAAAAAATTTGTATATAATGAGAATATTTAAATTACTCTATTTATACTATGTAATGATAATATTTAGACTATTTATATAAATTATTTATTTAATTAATTCAATTGTATAACTGTTGATCATTCTAATTGATTAAAAGAAAATATTTTTCATGCATCTGTGTGATTATTTTCATTTGTTTGCTTTTTGCTTTGTTTGCTTTTTGCTCTTGCTTTATTTGCTTTTTGCTTTTGTTGCTTTTTGTTTTTTGCTTTGTTTGCTTTTTGCTCTTTGCTTTGTTTGCTTGCACTTTTTGCTTTGTTTGCTTT